ATGGACAGACTACAAGCTCAGGTGGTGTTATCAACAATCATGTTTTATGTTGTCTCGTTAGGAATGGACAGACTACAAGCTCAGGTGGTATTATCAACAATCATGTTTTATGTTGTCTCGTTAGGAATGGACAGACTACAAGCTCAGGTGGGACCCTGAAGAATATGGCGGAGTTTCCAAGCTCCATGTTCCAGCTGAACAAATATGGCTGCCGGATATCGTCTTGTATAACAAGTGAGCTACTGTTTTATGTCTCTATTAAATACCATTGATATATTTTTTAATATTTTTTCTACCCTAAACTTATTACCTTATTTCTTTTCTGGTAGTGCTGACGGTAATTACGAAGTGACCATTATGACGAAAGCTATCCTTCATTCCGACGGTTTGGTTATCTGGCGTCCACCAGCAATCTACAAGAGCTCCTGTGAGATGAATGTCCAATACTTTCCATTTGATGAACAAACGTGCTTTATGAAGTTTGGTTCATGGACATATGATGGTTACACAGTAAGTTATAATAGATGCGATAGTGTGCTGATGATGGTTACACAGTAAGTTATAATAGATTTGTTGATGTATTGATTATGGTTACACAGTAAGTTATAATAGATTTGTTGGTGTATTGATTATGGTTACACAGTGAGTTATAAGAGATGCGATAGTGTGCTGATGATGGTTACATAGTGAGTTATAATAGATGCGATAGTGTGCTGATGATGGTTACACAGTAAGCTATAATACATTTGTTGGTGTATTGATTATGGCTACACAGTGAGTTATAATAGATTTGTTGGTGTATTGATTATGGTTACACAGTAAGTTATAATAGATGCGATAGTGTGCTGATGATGGTTACATAGTGAGTTATAATATATTTTGGGGTGTAAGTTATAATAATAGGAATGTTTTCGTATACTAGTAAGAATCATACAGTAAGTTTGTTACACTGGTAACCTTGTTAGAAGTATACAGTTAGTTTTGTTATACTGGTAGTCTGTTAAGAATCATACCGTTAGTTTTGTCATACAATGGGTGTACTATAGGTTTTAAAGAACTGACAAGATGTATACAGTGAGTTTTGAAGGACAATGGGTGTACCATAGGTTTTAAAGAACTGACAAGATGTATAGTGTAAG